CTGTCTCTTCGCCCCCATCCAGTGTGTCTCAGACCTGAATTTGGACCTCTCCTGCTCAGTTGCAATGAAGTGACGCCCCTTTGCGGTAAACCGTCAACGGCGGATCAGCAATCCTCGCGATATCGAGGACCCTTGCGGTCGGGTTACTGGCAAGGGGTGGCTCCCTGGGGTACCATTGTCGTCAGCGGATGACTTGGTAGATCGAACAAGTCAAAGGGTGGACAGGAATGCGACATGTTCGAGGGTAGGCGGGCTTAGGGCATCTTCACGATCTTTCCAACCAAAACAGAAAACTCATCTCCCGAAATTCTATTCTTAACAGTATGATGGCGCACACAAAGTTAAAATAATGGCCTCTGTCACTACCAACGTGCCATACGAGAGCACACCATTGGCTGTCGCCTACCGCATAAGTGCGATTGAATTCAATCTAGATCCAATTTATCATATATTAAAATTCAATTTAATCATTTTATTGATGTCCCCGAATATCAGTACACGGGGGTCGCGATATAGTGCCTCCCTCTGTCAGTGGGCCGAAAACGGCACTATGTTGAACCAGGCACTGTAAGATAATGAGACTTGCGGCTTTTTTGCGGCCACTTCCTTGCATCACTGCTCAGAAAGACCGTTCGCAAGACGCCATCACTCATACTTTGCATCTTCACTACAGACTCAAGTCTAATCAAGCATTTATGTCATTAGTAGCTTCCGAGACGTCGCATTGACTTGCTCCATTTTCGCAGCAATAAATGCCAGCCTACACTTTTGCAGATGTCCAATTGCATCATCGACCCTGCCTTTTTCCGCCATAGTCTCTATTCTAGTAAGCAACTGTATAATATCTTTCCGCGGCGGCAGCGGCTCTCGGGTAAAACGTTCAACTGCTTCTCTGGAGATCCTTAGTTTTTGGCTCAAAATTCTTGCCACCCGCAAAAGGATATCACTATATCGGAGCTGGCACTAACAAAGATGGCACTCTATCGCGACTCCCCTGTACACTTGAAAAAAGGCGGGAGGCTGGCAATCGAAGGAGATGCAATTCGTCTCCCAACAGAACCAAACCAAGACCCAAAAACACATCCTTTCTACCCTCTTCCCTATCGATAGCTCAGTATGATGCACCCCTTGAGCCAATTTACGGATCACGGCGCGCTGACACAATACATTAAATTATTGGACTTGTAATATTTTGAAAATCGCGAACATATACATCCAAACATGGCTGTCCATGCTGTCTTAAAGGAGACCCTCATTAAAACGCGTGTTTAGCCGGCGAGTTTGCTCGGATTTTCTGAACGCAAATCTTTCAAACAACGCGTTTGGCAAAACTCACAGCATACCGAAAACTCGGGGCATGTGAGTTTTCCACGAGTTTCACATCCGTGATCACAGCAGTGCCGGATCGACCCCTCGTGAAGAAAAACGAAGTTTGTCTTCCGTTCTTTTCATCAGCACAAACGAGTTTCAGACGGCACGGGTCGTATCGATATGCGTCATGGACGCCCCTATCGCTTCATCTGCGCAGAGTCCATCATTGGATCAATGCGTGACAGGGTCTGCCACAGATGTCGCCGAAACAACCGTGGAAGATAGACAAGTAGAAGCTTCTAAAAAGAAGTCCTCTCTAAACGGCCCCCCTCAGCTTGTCAAGAAGACGAAACACATCGCCCTTTCGACTGAAAACTTTTCTATCCTTGTGGCGAGCTGCAATATTCGCTTCAGCGAGTGTTCGCGCAGGTGCACGTGATCCGTCGGGCGGCACAACGATGTACCAGACTTGCGATTGTTGCGGGCAGGTACCTTGCTGGAGGTCAGTCGGCAAAACTCATGGTGGGGGTTTTCAAACTCGGGTTTACTTTATGTCCAGCGAGTTTGTGGGCAAATGGAAAAAAACAACGCGTTATTTTACGGACAACGTTAGTATGTCTCTTCCCTTTGTTAGAAGATTTCACAATGCACAATAGCGCACGCACCCTCTTTTCGATGATGGGTAGCAGGCCCCCGGAATGCTTTTTGAACTATTTTCTGTTTTCATTTGTTGTGAAAGTAGATTTCAAAATCAGAGGGCAGATTTCACTCATACCACGACTGCAATACAAGCTCTCTGTCTTACAAAACGATATAGACAGGGGTTAACCTTATAGTACTTGAGGTACTGTACGTAGTTACCCTAGTGTACCCCGAAACTAACAGACCCTCGGGAAATACCATTCGCTGAGGCGACACGCAATGTGCTGACACCCTTTTCCACCGCCTAGTCCTTACATAGAATTTACAAACCGTTTGTCAGTTCCGTGTTCGGAGCCCCCAACTTGCGTACGTTGAACCTCTTGCTGTTTGCGCTGCAAGGCACCACAGAAACTGACCACGAAGGTATCTGCGTGTCGTACAAGTGGCAAAGATCTTCACACTGGATATATTCACACTGGATATATTCACATTATTGGATGGAGCTTTAATATGGTAGACATCGTTGCACAGACAGCGGAAAGCTGTCGGTATCCGAAAAAAAATACCAATCACCAGTTGCCTTTCGCAGCAGATAGAGTTTCTCCCACGGAAGTCCAGCCACACGGCTGGCGACGATTCAGTCTTCTCTTAGCACCACACGTTTGCAAAGACAAGTCCTTAACGCCGAAAATAGTGCGAGAATACAAAGCCGCCGGAGGGCAAAGATGGAACCAAAGTATCGTCTTGTACTTCTCCGTTGATACTACAGTATGATTTCTACAAGCCGGGAACATGTTTCGATATTCAGAAACCGGCGCAACAGGGAGTTCAGAACGATAGCATTTGTTATCGGCAACTTTCATGCGTGGATGATACTGCCTGATTTTTGAAGAACTGCAATTTTAAAGAAACGTAACTTTTGTCATATATCCTGTAGTGCAGCGGGTGCATAGGTTTCCGGAGCCAGTGCAGAGAATCCAAAATCACCTGTCCATTCAAACGCATCATGTATGTCGTATCATTAACAAATTCCGGACTTTTTTACCACGACCAACTTTCAGACAGTCGTCCACAATTAGCATCAAGATGATAGATGCGATGATCGCACAGTCCGTTTTTTATTTTCTCAAAATCCTGCAAGCCAATATTACGGTCAATTTGCTCGCAGAATTGATACATTCCTTAAAACGTTAAATAGTCCATGAAATCTCGCTGACAGGGCAAGGCTGTTTACTCACTGGAGCTTCGGTATTCTGAAGGCGTTATGAAGATTGGGAACTATGCATTAAGCGCCCACGGCCTTTCCGAGGGTTGGTATTTTAAAAAAGCAACCTCCTTTGAGTTTTTATTCGCTCTCGTTGCTTCTCTTTTCTGGCGTTCAAAAACGAAGGCACTTCCATGACAGGAAATTTAGCTTGTACAGGTGATGATTGTCCGGACCGAGAAGGTCTCCTCTTCTTTTATTCGACAGTTACAATAGAGTCCAACTTTCTGAAGTGTAACTCGTTGGATTCGGGAGGCCCGGAGACTGCCGTGCCCGTACGTATGTATGAATCAGTCGACACTGGACGTCACCCCATGCCTTCCATCAATTCTACTGTAATCATTTGAATGGTTTAAATTGGGCCTTGTCTTCGTAAAGTTATTGGAAAACAAGGGTCCCACTTCTTTCATTGTTTTCTTCGCACATGCCCCTGCTCGCGTCGATTATTTTGCATGATACCCGACAGAATCAACACACTTCCTTTTTGCCTTTTTATCATGCACTTGGACGTGCGTCTTCGAAATGCATCTGAAGCAGCGGTCTTTTTTGTTGAACGACATGTTGCTTAAAATGAAATTGGGACAGAGTGTATGATGAGTCGTCGTGATTTCACAACTTTTAGTCTCGTAAATCAGCTGTCTCCAGAAGACGTACATCAGTTTGTTTCCTAACTTGCATACACTAAATTATGTCGTTTCAGTCGAGCTCGGGGATATCTATCAAAAAGCGAACAGCAGTGCCCCGAAAGCACACAGCATTTCAAGATATCGTTCCTGATACACGATTCGAGGTGAGAGTGGGTTGTCGGAATTGCTAAAAATGATACTCCACGCAACAATCCAATATCCTTCGCATTATTCTGGCTGCTGCAACCGTAATCTTTTATTGTTATTGACACGACCTCTTTCCATCACGGTTTGCACTCGACCGTGAGAGACGATTCCAACCCCATACAAATTTCCTTTCCCCTAGTGCTCTATCAGTCGTGGAGCATTCCCCACTGTCCTCCCTTCTCATGTTGTCCGATATATATATTTTTGATGCGGCCGACCGTCTACCAGCCTGCGTGGTTTTGATTTTGAGAAAAGCGACAAAGAACGGAATTGCATGATCACAAGCGGACACTCATCGACTACTTTCCTACCAAACACACACTTGAAGCAGGACGACGGACATGTCCAGATCAAATCACGTAAAGAACATTGGTAGCAACCTACTCCTCAAGACTAACCTGCCAAACATCGACACAAGAACCAAGATGTGCACATGCGGGCTCAAGTGCCGGGACGTCTGCTACCGCAAGGAGTACAACGAGCTGATGCACGCGTTGGACCAGGTGAACGGGTTTGGAGTGAAGACGTCGTCGATGACGATCACGGTGTCGACTAGCGGGCGCCGACAGATAGAGGCGGGCGGGCAGGTGACGAGGAAGAAGAGGAGATGCCTTGCGCACGGAGCGGAATCTACGCACGACTCGACGGACTCATCGTATTCGGGGTCCAGGACGCTGTCTACTGCTAGCGGGGTCAAGGACGGGTCGGATAGCTCGCCGGTACGGGTGGCACGGCTGCAACGGATGGTGGAGTCGTGTCGCAAGGGTGAACCCATTTTTCAAGAGAAGGACTTGCTAGACATTGTGTATAGACCAAATGTGACTGGAAACTAGCCATGAGATTGGCGCGGGGGCAAAGGTCTTGCGCACTATGCATGGTGCGAGGAGGATGGGGTTGTAGAGGAGGGCTTGGAAAAGGGTGAGGGCGGAGGAATTTTGCAGATAAAGATTCTACTTTTCTTCGAAGTTTGTACAATAGCCTTCAGCAAGTGCTGGTTGCTCTTCTCTGTCACTTGCGGTTTGCGTTGAAGGGCAAGCATGAATTGCTGAGGCACTTTGCATTGTCCACGAAAGCTTGCAAGCGAGAGGAGCAAAGGAGAGGAGCAAAGGAGAGGAGCAAAGGAGAGGAGCAAAGGAGAGGAGCAAAGGAGAGGGGCGGGCAAGCTGGAGCAACATGGACAAGAGGAGCAAGGAGGAGCAAGGAGGAGCAAGGAGGAGCAAGGAGGAGCAGTCCTCGCTGTAAAGCACACGTGTGTATGTCGGTGTACGCACCTCAATTTTTAAAGGAAAAAGAAACAAAGTGATGTACGATGAGGTCATCGTGTTACCGAAATAAACTCCTGTGTGCGGCACGTGTACGCCTCTGTGTGGTCTCCAATGCATCGGCCTACAGTACAGTATCTGACTCAGTATCTGCCGTACTCTACACAACGCCGCGCACTGGACAACGGGCCGCGTCCCCGCCGTCCGCTTCCCGTGCGTCTCACGCTTTGCAAGCCGCCCAACAATCCTTCTCCCTACCCCACCTTCAATCTCCGCACCCACTCCTTGCTTTTCATCACCCATCACGCGCAATGTCGATGTGGGCCGGCCAGTTCGACGCGGCTCCCAACGAGCTCGTCGCTGAGATGGGCTCCTCCATCCACTACGACAAGCGTCTCTACAAGCATGACATCCTGGGGTCCAAAGCCCACGCGCGCATGCTAGCCAGGCAGCACATCATCCCCGAGTCTGACGCCACGGCCATCGTTGATGGCCTGGACCAAGTCCAGCGCGAGATCGAACAAGGCCACTTCGAGTGGAAGCCCATCCTGGAGGATGTACACATGAACATTGAGAAGAGGCTCACTGACATTATTGGCGCCCCGGGCGCGAGGCTGCACTCGGGTCGCTCGCGGAACGACCAGGTTGCCACGGATCTCCGCTTGTACTTGCGTGATGAGGTAGATTTCATTCGTCAGCGCATCGTCAACGTCCAGACCTCGTTGGTCACGCTGGCCAAGGACCATACCAGTACCATACTGCCAGGCTTTACCCATTTGCAGCATGCACAGCCAATTGTACTCGCGCATTACCTCCTGGCGTACTCGGAGATGTTCGAAAGGGACTTGGGCCGGATCAAGGATTGGAAGGCCCGCATGAATTACTTGCCCCTCGGTTCGGGCGCGTTGGCTGGCACCACGCTTCCGCTTGATAGAGAGTTTGTTGCCAAGGAGCTTGGCTTTGCGGGCGTCTGCACCAATTCCTTGGATGCAGTCAGTGATCGCGACTTCGCCATCGAGCTCGTCTCGTTGTGCAGCATTGTCATGATGCATCTCTCCAGACTGAGCGAGGACATCATCTTCTGGATGAGCCAGGAGACTGCATGGGTCCAGCTTGGGAATGAATTCTGTACTGGCAGTTCTCTTATGCCTCAGAAGAAGAACCCTGATATGTGCGAACTCACTCGAGGGAAGACTGCCAGGGTGTTCGGCGACCTCACCACCGTGTTAACCATCATGAAGGGTATCCCGCTCGCGTACAATCGCGACATGCAAGAGGACAAAGAGCCAATCTTTGATGCTATCGATACTGTCAAGCTCGTCTTGGCTGTGTATGCTCCCATGATAGCCACTATGCGCGTCGACAAGGAACGAATGTACCAAGCGGCTAGCGACCCAGCTTTGATGGCCACGGATCTCGCCGAATGGCTAGTAGAACAGGGTGTACCATTTAGGGATGCGCACCATCGAGTGCGCGATTTGGTGACATACAGCAAAACAAACAGTATCAGTCTCGACAGGTTAACGCTTGATCAGATCAAAATTTCGGTGCCAGAGGCAAACGAAGAGTGCCTAAACCTGTGGAAACCAGAGCAAAGCGTGGCGAAGAGAAACATTGTCGGAGGTACAGCCCCGGAGCAGGCTATATTCCAGATAAGGACAAAATGGGGTCACTTGCTCGAGCAATAGTGACCGCAAGAGATTACAGCATCAACCGACCTGAGTGTGAAACGGATGCCACGGTATTTGTTGCCGGTCGAGCTTGAGTTAGCTTGTGACGGTCGTGACGGCAAGGTCATTAAATGCGGTTTCGCTAGTGGATAATTTTGGATGAGGGCATGGCTTCTCCTTGAGCATCCCCCCTGCGTATAGTTTCCCGATGAGCGACTCGCTTCGTCGGCGAGCGACGGTACTAACGCTGGTGACGTATTTGGAAAACTCGTTTGCGAGGAATATGACAGCCTTAAAATTGAACGTCTTAGCAGCGATCAGCGTGCTCTCATTCAACGCAAAGTCACAATGCGGCATGAACAGCACCGAGCACATGCGACTCGGTGGGGCTTTAAGCTCGTAGTGGTGAGCCGCGACGACCTGAAACCCACATTGCACCGCTATCTGTTCATCATCGTCCTCCATGACAGGGTCTGCGAGCGAGCAAACTGCCGGGTTGTTGAGTAGCTCCTTCAACAGCATAGCACACGCAAGCTGATGACGAGCGTTTGAACAGTTGACGAAGGAACCAATGCCCAGGCACTCGAGCGCATGCACGTCGCAACTGCTTCGCTCGCTTTGCACGAGCTGCGACACCGTCCCCCACCACGCAGACTTTCTCAGGGCTTCTCTGATGACTAGGACTTTGCGAATCGTCGTTTGCTGCGGGGAGTCTGATGCAGGCTTTCTGGACTTATTCCGACTGGACCCTCCAGGCTCGGGACGCGGCGGGAGGGTGTTGGTGTGCCCCTCAGGTCGCTTCTTCTGACGAGATGGTTTTCGACCGGCGCTCCCGCGACTGGTCATGGCGTGCCCAGAAGGATGTGGATAGTCGGGATCGGCCAACTTTCGTTTGACGCCAGTCTGTCGATGGCAGCTTTTCTCGCCGCCGATTCCTGGAAACTGGCGGTATTATTGCTACACCAGGACACGTCTCGACACGAGACAGAAACGAGGTGATGAACGCATCCAAGATGCATGGCATTGGACAAAAAGCAACCAGGCGACCCCTCCATACGTGGCTTGCGGCGCACGGCTGAGGGTTGCGAACTCATCGATGCCTCGAGAAACTTGGAAAAAACAATAAATTGCCGCACTGTCCTGATTCATTTTTTTTCGACTACGCCACCGCCGTCATTTGCTCCTTCTTTCGGTCGGTCCCAGCCAGCTCCATTTCGTTCGCGCGAAGAGCTATGTTCCAACCCGTGAAGGCTGTTTCAAAGGCCGTCCGCAAAGGGGGCAGCTACCAACTCCCCGCTACGGCCAGCCTATTTGCGGATAGTCCTCTGGACGTCGAAGAAAAAGCAGCCAAATCTGAAGTCGGGTTTCTCTTCCCCAACCACCAAGAAAAGCCACAAAAGAGCACGACCCAAGGAAATTGGAAGGCACTAGACGAGAGTTTGAGCGGCGAAACGGCGACGGCCCTGAAATCGCCCCCGATGTCGGCGTCGGCGCGGCGTGCGGCGGAGACCGACTGGCATGAGATCCCGGAGGCACGCATGACGCCGCAACTACAGAACGACCTGCGCGTCATTGAGAATAGGCAGCATCTCGACCCGAAGCGGTTTTACAAGTCGTCGGGGAGCGGGAGAAGGAAGGGGCAGTTGCCAAGCAAGGTTCATGTGGGGACGGTCGTTGTGGGGGCCCATGAGTTTTACTCTGCGAGGCTGACGAGGAAGGAGCGGCGGAGGACAATTCTGGATGAGGTGATGAGCGATGGGAGGATTACTAACTACACTAAGAATAAGTTCAAGTCGATACAAAAGGCAAGGCAGGGGAACACACGCGTCGTGGACCCTGCGGCAAAGAAGCGGAGGAAGGGACGCTGGCAGTGAGGGGTTCTAAAGACCCAGGGATGTAACTAAGCTGCGAATGTGCGGGTGTATTAGGGCATCAGTATTGCTTCGCGAGAATGCGATATGATGGAGCGAGCATTCACGTCGGCCGTGAGTTGAGTTTTGATACCAGAGGCGTGGGGCGGGAAGCGACAAAGTACGCATCGTCAGTTTTAATTGTTGGAACGAAATACAGGTTTAGGAGATAGTTGTTTGTTACACAAGTTTGCATACGCTTCTCGCATCCAATTTTACAAGGGCCCGTTCGAGCCCTTGGCCGGTGGGAAATCCTCCTCCGATTGCCCCAGTGGGCCAGCGCCCAAGTTGCGTACGACCGAGTACTGATTGTTGTCCTGCTCCAAAGCACCATACCTACTCCCGGGCGAACTCACGCTTGATTTCATATAGGGCGGGGTGCGGGGCGGTTCAGCCACCGCGAGTAATGGATCGATCTCATCTAGATTGCTCCCGTACGGAATATTGGCCTCCTCATCGTACGTGGGCTCACTAGGGTTGTCTTTGATTTGCCTCTGTCGCGTAATAATGGCGTCTGCCAAGGCGACTCGACGCTGGCTCATGCCACCAAAGACACCCAGGACGATGGTGGCGATGGCGTAGCCTATCGCCCACCATGGCGAGTCCGGTTCGGCGTCGGTGGCCGTCGGGATGTCCGCGGCGAAGATATTAGGTCTGTGTCCCAGAAAGCGAGCGAGGGAGTACACGGAGAGCGCGGCGCCGTCGAATGCTGTGCCCAGGATGATGCCCGTCTCTGGATAGCTGACGGAAAACAGCCCGACGAGAAGGGAGGCGAAGATGGCGATGACGTAGAGTACGATCTGGCCGTTCTTCCCCGTGGCCGGCTCCATCAGGAACAGATGCAGCACAAAGACCATGACGGCGCCGAAGCCCGCGCACAGCATGAACGTCGCAATGCCGAACAGCAGGCGCAGCATGACGACGCCGACGAGGATTCCCGCGAGGGTGGCGAGGGCGACGACGACAGCCTCGAGCAGGGACTGGCGGTCGGTGCCCGGGTGCTCCTCCGCGATGAGAGCTAGACCTAGCGCGGTGATGATCACGGCGGTCGGGGCGAAGCCGATGAGAAAGACAGTCGGCTTCAGGATGGTCCTTCCGGAAAAGGCGACGATGACGCCCGCGAAGAGGGCGAGGGCGACCAGCCCGTCATGATGCGACGCGGCGTAGGCGTTGACGGCCGTGAAGAGGGAGTTGGCCGAACCTGAAACTGAGTCCACCACGGTCATCGCGGTCGCCACTAAGCGAGCTGCCGGACCCCGGGCTCAACTGAATCGGTTGGCCAGGCGCATGGTGTCGGCCTCACAAGGCCTAAGAGAGAGAGGGCGGTCGTGTGTTGTTACCAAGGGACGGCACAGGGGTTGAGGTGGGACAAGAGTGGGAATGACGAATCCAAAAAGACCTCAAAATAACGTTTCGTTTACAAGTCAGTAGCCTCACCTCCGCAGCTGTAAGCAGGCGAGGCACATTCGCATAAGACTACGTGGACACGTGTAATGGAGAGGTGGTCGAGATCTCGATTGCCACTCCGCGCTGTGATTAACATTATCCCTTTCAACCCCACACCCCCCCATGCGTGCCTGGCGTCTCTCTGGCCCCGCTCCCCCTTATCCCCCCTTTCGACTCAAAACTTGAACAACATGAAGGCCTGCGATTTCGCTTTCGTCCAACCCATCGTCGTCCCCGCCCGACCGCACCGCCACCATGTCCACTCATCTCGACCGCCGCACTGCCTCCCCAAGCGCCCAATGTGCACCCGCCTCCCCGCGACTCCACACATGACCGCCTCGGACCGTTCGACAGAGTCGCTCCCCATTCCATTCGCCCCACAAACCTCAGACGTGTGGGAGCTGGACTTCTATTCTCGCCCCGTCGTTGGGATGGACGGCAAGAAGCTGTGGGAGCTGATCATCACCGACACCTCGGCCGCGTTCACGCACATCGAGGCCATCCCCAACTCCATGGTCAACTCGCGCGAGTTGCGAAAGCGCGTGCAGGCCGTCATTGATGACGCCCAAAACCCACCAAGGGTCATCCGCTTCTTCCGCACCCAGATGTTCAACATGATTAATATTGCCCTGTCGGAAATCGACGTCCAGGTCGCCCCATCACGGAAAACTTACGCACTGTTTCAGCTGCTGAAGGAGAGGGAGGAGACGGTTTATGTCAAAATGCCGGGCTTTCAAAAGTCCCTAACGAGCCAGGCTACGGTCTTTTCGGGCATTGACCTCGTCGTCATACAGCCCTTGCCGGATGCCCTGCGATGCGAGAGCTTTTCTTTTGGTTCGTTTCCGCTTGGTCAGCTGGAGGAGTTTTTTGACACCGCCAATTCCAAGGACTTTTTCGGCGACTGCTGCCTTGTCGACCCAAGCGTGCCGAAGGATACCTTGGTCCCTGGACTGGTTGTTTTCTCCAGACGTGCTTATCCTTTAGCTGCCTGGATTAGTGGCACGGAGCTCGCTTTCATCCGCGCTACCCTGGAAAGGCAGGAGATTGCCTTCGAGTGTGGCTTGAACACCGTGTACAAGTTTGCCCAAATTACAGACGACATACAGGACGAGGCGAGGACTTTTCAAGCAGGCAAAGCCAATACGGCAGGCCTCCACTTTCTAGCCGTCCAGACTAGCTCAGATGCAGAAGAAATAGACGGTATGTGGTTGTTGCGTGAAACTTAAACAACGGTTACGTGGGGCCGGCCGCACGTCAAAATGGACTACACGCTTTACGGATTGCCGAGCTTGCTATTTGGACTGTTCTTGTACAAGAAGAGGATAGGTAGCAGGCCTGCTGGACTAATATTTTTTTCCGAATTGGCTCGTCTCTCGCACGTTATTCCTTGGATGCTCCGCCCACCGCGTTTGACTACGGCCATGTCCGTGCGAAGCCGCCGCGAAGGCCGACAAATTTTGATGCATGACTTGCGGTTACGTATATTCGCGACAAGTGTATCTTGCTGTGCATTGACCAAGAATGCAGCATTAGAAGCATTCCCTCTGTTGGGAGGTTGTCTGCCATACACTGTTATATATATCCACGAATTCTACTACGATAGGCCCAGCACTTTTTGAAGAAGGGTGAACAGCGAGGGTTAAAGACGACAGAAAAATCCTATTGTAGCCCTCGTGCTTATTAGGCCTCCTGCGAGGCCAAAACGGTTCAAGGGGACAGGTGTCATACTTGTGCAACACGAGTGAAGCAGAGTGTCGATTTTTACACTGTCGGTGTCTCAAGTCTACTAGGACATCTAGCGATTATGGGAAGCGGCGATCTCGGGATATCAGTCACATAGACTCCGGAAGGTTCCAAACGTCGACCAAGACTTTGTTCGAACCTGTCCCTTTAAATATTTCAAACTGCGGAACAAAGAACACGCACGACTGAAGCGGCATCACCAGTCTGATTACGGCGGCGCAAGCCTCCCAGAGGTCTTCAGCTTGATGGTCAAGTGATAGGTAATCACGAATCTGTGCAACATATAAAGCGAGATCCCCCCATTGCGGCAAACAGTCGCCGATATATAGTACAAACTATCCGTTCGAAACATACCGCAGGTACACGGTATTCATGGTACACAATCTTGACGAGAGAAGTGCGGCTATCTTTTCGGGCGCTCGCGTGTTGGTGTTCAAAGAGCATTGAGGACCAAAACTGGTATTTACAACGATGCGCCCCCGAGAAATCAGTTGTACGCCAGATACTTGGCCGTAGCGCTGAACTTGGCATATCCCTGAATGACCTTTGCGATCGAGTCTAAAAAGTCCTTCTCTGTAACGGTCTTACGCCTCGCGCGTATAGCGAACATGCCCGCCTCGGTACAGACGGAGCGAATATCGGCGCCGGTGGAGTTCGGACAGAGCCTAGCCAACAGGTCCCAGCGGATGTCCCTCTCGCAGTTGATCGAGCGGCCGTGGATCTTGAAGATCTGGGTGCGGCCCTCCAGGTCCGGCAGGCCGACCTCGATCTTGCGGTCCAGGCGGCCTGGGCGCAGCAGAGCAGGGTCCAGGGTGTCCGGGCGGTTGGTGGCCATAAGGACCTTGATATTGCCGCGGGCGCTGAAGCCGTCCAGCTGGTTGAGGATCTCGAGCATGGTCCTCTGGACCTCGTTATCGCCACCTTGGCCGTCGTCGAACCTGGCGCCGCCAATGGCGTCGACCTCGTCGAAGAAGACGATGCAAGCGCGCTTGGTGCGTGCCAGCTCGAAGAGCTCACGGACCATACGGGCGCCCTCGCCGGTGTACTTCTGGACGAGCTCGGAGCCGATGACGCGGATGAAGCAGGCGTCGGTGCGGTTGGCCACGGCGCGGGCGAGAAGGGTCTTGCCCGTGCCGGGCGGGCCGTACAGCAGGACGCCCTTCGGCGGGTCGATGCCGAGGGCGACAAACTTGTCCGGGTTGAGCAGCGGGAGCTCGACGACCTCGCGGATGCGCTCGATGGACTCCTTGCAGCCGCCGACGTCGTTGTACGTGACGTCCGGCTTCTCCTCGACGGTCATCATGGTGACGGAGGCGTCGATCTTCGGCGGGAGCGGGATCTGGATCTGGTACTTGTTGCGGTCGACGCCGACGCGCATGCCCTCCTCGATGTCGGTTGGGGCGACGCGCTCGCCGAGGGAGACGACAAACTTGGCGATCTGCTTGACGTTGATGACGTACTTGGGCTCCTCGTTCTCCTCGGCGATGATCTTCGTGCAGCGCGCAACCTGCAGCGGCTGCTCCTCCATGACGCACTGCTTGTCCTTGACGAGGTCCCATTGCGAGGGAGGGGCCAGGCCGGTGTCGGACTCTTTGATGCCGCACAGCTCGTCGACCTGCTTGACCTTGTCCTTGATCTCCTTCTCGAGGCGCTTGATGCTCGTCGAGTACGGGCCCAGGCCGTAGGTCTTGAGCAGGGCGATGTCGCCCGCGTCGAGCGTCTGGATGGGCTTGTCATCCTTCTTGTCTTCGTCGGCGGCCACCATGGTTGAGTTGCGAGTTGCGGGGCGGGGTGGGGGGGGGGGAGGTTGAGGCGCACGAGCAGCGGAGGCGGGCAGACCGCGGCTCCATCATGGCACTTCGGGGACTCCCGCGCCAGCACGCACACGTGTCGCGCAGGGAGCTGGAAGCCGGTTCTGTAAGGCGGTGCTGACAGCAGTGGGATCCACGTGGCGGGGGCGGCGGAGGAAGCGATGCATCGCGTTGGCTGTGATTTTGATTTTGACCCCGTGAAAGCTATACAATGGTAGTATGACAAACGCGCGAAGACCCCTACAATTGTCTACAATTGTTACAAAATGCGGTTTTCACAGTGACGATCTCGACGACTGTGAAAACGGCTGTTGGTAAGATTTTCCGGACGTTTAGCATCAAAACCCTATTTTCACGTTTTAATTTTCGTTGTACATGTGTCGTCGCTGTCGGCAGTAGTTTCTGTCATATCGAAATGTTGCGCATTGCTGTTCCCAATCTTCAAATCTTCGAAAATATTACCCAAGGGTACTGCTAGCCCTACTACAGTACCGTGGCCAATTTGTCACGGTGGAAAACACCATCGGCACGGGGCAAATGACCCCCAGAAAACAGACAAACATTACACTGATCACAGCAATTAACCTGGGCCAACTTAATTCTGAAGCCCCTTTTTCAGGTCTATAACCATGTTTAACATGGTCCGGATTAATTGTGAACCCAGATTAATATATGGTCAAATCAGATATAACATGGTCCAGTTTATTTATGAACCACTGGATTAACCTTGATTTCTAACATTGCTGACAAGTATTCAAGAAATTACGGCTCCACTTCTTGCCCATTGAAATGGACACGATGCTCGGATATTATTGTCTGCAGCTCAGAAAAGAGCTGCTTCTCTTCCCAAAGACCATATCGAGGCGGCGACATGCGTTCTCGCCCTTTTTGAACTCTAAATGCGACTTATCATAAGACTGTTTCCTCCAGGTCAAAACCAATAATAACCTGGTCCAGTTTATTTCTGAATCCAGGTTAATATATAGACCAAGGTTAATTGCTGTGATCAGGTGTAGTCTCGGATTTCCCATACAGGTATTCGCGTTGGCACGCGTGAGCGGGCCGCTCTGACTGGCGCGCGTCTCAACCGCAACCTCCTACTCGCCCGGCTCCACCACTTCCGTCCTTCCACTTGTCCTGCAGCTCACCGCCCTCGCCGCCTCACCTCCTCGTGCTCCAGCGCCCGCACCTTCACCTGCCCACGTACGAGTACATCACCTCCGCCCGCGTCCATCAATCTCCACCCCGCTCCCCGCAGCATCATAAACACCCCCAGACGACTGGAGGTGTATGCGCAGTTCGAGCTGTAGACCCCGGATCGGAGAAGGGGTGAAGCGGGCCAACCAGCTACGGAACCGGGCTCGGGCCCGGGTAGCGGTGGTAGAGCGGGAGCGAGCAGGGACACGCGCACGCACGAGCGGATCGACGCCTCGACTCCCCGGAGCAGCAGTGGGTGACGTAC